CAATTTTTTCATTGGCAACGCGCTTCACTGTTACTATCGTATGTCTATTGCAAATTAACAGAAAAGAGTACTAGCTCTTACTATGAATACAGTTTTGTCAATCTGGGGATTTTTCAGTGCAAAAATACTACCAGAGCATTATAGCGACTCCTGCAGTTCGAGGTCATCTTCCATGCTTTCGAACGAACCGACAGTGAAAGAATCTTCGGTAACTTTTGCCATCACTGCATGTTCCTACCTTTAGTAATCCTTGAAAAACAGTCCATTAGCTTGATACAATAAAGGAGTGTTATGTCTTCTGTATTTTTTCAAATATTTCTATTCAGAGTGAGTGCTAGTGGACAGTTTCGTTTCAGTTAATTTGTTTAAATTGTGTTTTAACTCAATTTTTTCTTAATAACAGTTCATCACTTTAAAAAATTTATTTTGATGAACTTTGATATATTTTATTATTCCAGTGCATAAATGTATCATCTTACGGTTCGAACGATTCAGAACCACGAGTGTCGCAACAGCTTACGCCGGTATCTGCAAAAGTTGGCTTTTTGCTTTTGCCATTTACTTGTTTAAATTTTACATTTTAATGAATTTTTTCAAACTGATATTTAAAATTCATATTGATTTTAGTTTGTTTTTCAGAATACAGATGTAATGTTGCCTCAGACATATTGTTATGACGAGGATGCGGATAATGGCGTGTTGTGTCGTGTCTGTGATTGCTGGTTACCTGGGCAGCGGGAATTTGATCGCCACTGCGATGAATTACATCCAGTTGCTGCTGATCCAGATAGTACAACCGTACCACAAACGTTAATAATTATTACCAAATACCTTCAGCACTTACTCTGTCCAACTATACCATTTTTCTTTTTGTGGATGTGAAATACCTTCATATGGAAATTTGAATCATAACAGAAAAAAAAAAAATCGCTGCAAACCATTCACAGTAACTGGAATACTTTTTATCAGCTACAGGTTTGAACAGACTTCATTAGCGTCCGGATCAATAATGTTGAGCACAGCGATTTCATCAGAAGTGAGTTTGAATCCGTCGGGTCCGTACTCTGTTGCTGCTACAAACCGAAAGCGAGTGTCTTCTGATCCTCTTGAATCCGGGAGCTATTTCAGCACTAAAAGTGGGCGGCATTTATGTCAGGTACCGAAATAATTTTCCTTTTTTGCACTGGAGAATTATCGAAAGTAAAGCAGGCTTCATAATGCTTGCAATAACCAGGATGAAAGAGCTCAAATACTTAGGGCTCTCCGTATAGTTGTATAGTTTCAGACATGCGGCAAATATTATTCATCAGAATGGAATTTGGAAAGACATCGACGAGAAAGTTGTCCATCTCATATGAAACGATTAAAAAGTATTACTGATGAGAGAACAAGGTAATTAACAGCTGCAAGCACATAATTCTAGAATTTGGCAGTTAAAGGAATGTTGTTTCACTGTTACCAAACATTTGTAACTGGACTTTATTAAACTATAGCAAGATGTCGAGTATCGTTTAATGAAATCTGAAATATATTTTGATGTACTCTTCTCGTCACTAACCGCAGCGGTGAATAATGAGGCCGTCACTTCATTCACTTCGTTTCATTATGGAGACTAATGCAGCATGAGGTTTAAATATGCATGAAGTACGGGTGCTATAATGGATTTTCTCGCTGTAATTACTGTCCCTTTAGCTTTTTTCACGACTTAATTAATCTAATTATTATTCAAGGTTGGCAAAATTGGAACCAGTGGACTTGTTGCAATTTCAGACTACTGTAAATACCAGATGGGTGGATGATTGTGCTTTGATTGTTGGCGAATCTCGAATTGGTGTCCCAAGAGCGGTAAATTTGTAAATTTTCCAGCAAGATTGTGTGTGAAAAATACCGTAAGATGTCCATAAATGCTAAGCGAAAAGGCAACTGATAAGAACTGCTGGCCAGTTTCGTAAGGATGTCCATAAGTGCTAAGCGAAAAGGCAACTGATAAGAACTGCTGGTCAGTTTCGTAAGATCTGGAATATGCTGAGTTTGCTTGGAGTAGAAAGCAATGGGAAGTATAAGTCGCCAAGATGTTATAGTGACAATACTGTTTCGCTGAAAAACAGTTATTACAAAGTCTTTTTGAATTCAAACATTTCATTTTTATTTTAGATGCTTTCAAGAGCTTCAACATATTTCTCATCTTTGTTTCAATATTATGAAAACCACAGTGATGTTCCACTGCCGGTCCCAGTTGATCCCATCGCATTTCATCAAGCTATGGAAGCATTTAAGGGTCGATTACAACTTGACGGTATTCTTTTAAATTTCTGTCAATTTTTTTTCAATGATTTCTTGGACATTGTCGATTTAATTTGACAATTACACTTGTTGTCCTTCCTTCTTAAGTCTCTTTGTTTTCTTCTTCAAGTTCCGACAAAATAAATTTCTTTAGGTAAAAATATTGACTGCATATTATTTATGGCTGATAAATTCAAAATTAAACCTCTTTATGATCGATGTGAACGTTTTATCGCCGAAAAAGTAAGTTTGAATGTTCTTCCTCTTTATCCTTTTTGGTTTCTGATTCATGTCGATTGCTGCTTTTACAAACATCCATTCTTTCTTTTATGGATTGATACTCTTAATTCTCTCATTTTGTTGTGTGGATGATTCCTTCCTTGGTTACTCTCATTGTTTATAAGAAAAAAGTTGTGATGAAGAAGGTGGTCATCTGAAATTAAGAGTGCTTAACTGGATCATTCAGCAACTGTATTTACGCGCGTATCATGATTTTACAAATTGTAATGATCTTGCCTACGCAATCATTGGATATGGATAGGTTAAGAACACGAAAATGACTGCAGACCAGTTCCTTTTTTTTAAATCTGTTTGAACTGCTTCAGTTGCCTTCATCATCAGTGATGCATGCAATCCGGCTAGCAGAGCAATATCGAATGTGTGAAATAAAGCAAGCGCTGTTCGATTCGATTTCTATAGATGTATTTCGTAGTCTTGCAGCGGATGAAGATTATCGACAGATGGGTGCAGAACTGAAAGCTGAACTTTTGGAAAAATGGGGTACATTCTTGTGAGCATCTAAAAGTTCCTGTTTCATTTTATGATTGTCTCAGGTTTGGCACCATGTACAGTTGCTTTATCATCATTTTTATAAAGTTGTTTTGTTTGTAGGCCTTTCCATTCTCTACCCTTCTCCCCAAGTATTGATGATGTTTTTGCATCATGTACAATTGCCCAAAGTTTTTTTTTCAAGTTCGAAGATCCATTTTTAGGATATCTTACATTTTTGAGGTAATTCTGTCGTGCAAAAACACGAATATGAGGATTATGTGAACTTCGGAGTATGTTTAATTAAAACTGTGGAATACTATGCAGTGATGTGTATCTGCGCTGTACAAATTTTGCTTTTGCCCGGACGATCTTTTTGATCTGCAATTTCTAGAATTTTAAAAGAAGAACAAGATAGTGGTTCTTAATACCGGCGTTGTTGGAATTTTTCCTTAATTTGGTATATTTAAGAACTACTTGCACTGTTCAGACCTTTGTTTTTAAAATGAAATGACGCTATGTGTGTTGCTTTGGGTGCTATGGCAAATGGATATGCCTTTTGATTATCAGTCTTAACCAAGGCAGTTGTTGGATGGGATGTGGTTATCCATTGCAAAAAATGATTCTTTTGGATTCAAGATTTCTTTTCAAAAATTTGCGACATATCAGTATTCAAGTTCAGCTATTGACATTATTGATAAAGGTTTATCACAATGTCGGTTAGAACTGGTTTCACTTTTCTTTGAGATTAATGTAACGCTTGTACATTCTGTCGTATATTTAAAATTAATGTTTCTGAACCTCATCGCTTGGGTTTTTCCTCATGGACCTAACAGTTGATGAAGTATTCTTCAACCATTCAAAGGAAAGCTACTAAATAAATAGGGACGAGATGAATGAGAAGGCAAAGGGTAAGAGGCGTAAGAGGTGTGAATAATTTGCTTGCATATTCAGCAAATATATGAGGCAAAATTTCGTATCCCCATTTCTGGAATTCTAAATCCAAAGCACGGCGTAGGAATTAGTGAGGTCCTTCCTCTCTTCCAACCGTCTCTAACATATATTCTAATACTACTGTTTATAGTTATTGTGCTGCTAGGATCTCAGTTGACACCATTACGATCTCTTTGAAATGATTCAATCCGTCCCTTCATTAGTAAGCAGATCCTTTCACCGTTTAATTTTCTTTAAAGCTGTCACCAGTGTTTTCTTGACCAGTTATCCCTACATTTTACAATGAGTAATAATATTTTTTGAATAATGTTTAATCTTACGGTTTGTTTTTACGAACTACTTTTGAGCTCTTTGCTTCTGTTTTTATTCGAACACATTAGTTCATAATCTTCAAAAGAAACAGAATTAATAGGAAGTTTTCATATTCTGCTGATTAAAATCCGTTTTTCAGAACGAAAGGTAGAGTTTATTCTGTTGTTCAGGTCGATCTTTCTCGATCGAGGCGAAGCTTTTTAAGCTATCTGAAGTAGATACTGATGATTGTTGGTACTTAAAAATTCTCGGACTCGAATCTTGTTTTCTCATATTTCGGGAAATATTCGGAATGTTCAGAGTTCATTTCGATAGTTACCTTCGCCTCCCACCATACATTGTTTTTAGCACTTATAACGGAAAGTCTTTCAGTCCACTTGCGAGCATACTTGGAGATGTTTCATATGATTCTTACTCGCAGGTCTTAGAAGCATTAAATTTCAGAAATAAAAGCTTTCCCATTCCATCTTTGATATATGTGCTCTTCCTGTGTATTATATGAAACCAAATTCCGTTTTTCATTTGAATTTGTTAAAAAGATGCTGACATAAAAACGAGCTTTACTTCTGTCCTTCATTTCTTTTGCGCAATTTCTATTTTTGTTATTTCGTAAATTGTTTGCTAGGCAGAGAAGGTTAGATTTTTAAAAATTTTCAAACGGAATGTCTTAGTAGTAACTTTTCTTGTTTCTTTAAATGTTGTGCAACTTCGTCCACAGGTACTTTTTGCAGTGACCACATGATGAAAGCTCTTTACTTTCTAGTAAGTTGGCCTTGGGACAGTGCAAAAAAGAATTGAAGTGCATATCAGTGCTTTACGATTTTTTCTTCTGAAAGGCCTACAAAAAAAAGAGTTTTAAATTGAAGCTTCCTACACAGCAGTGATGCTGGGTATCGTTTGAAGTACTACCAGACATGTTACATTTTCTTAGCTATGCTTTCGTTTCGCGCAGCGGGAAATGGCTTTCAGTATTTAAGGCATCAGACAGAGGAGTGGGTCTCCTCAGCAATCATCGGGGCCCGTTTGAGATGGAGACTAACCATTTCTTGTGCATTTTTTACAGTCCTAAAAGTTTTTCATTCAGGTTATGAGATACATTGTATCAGCTCTTCAGCTTTTAAAATCTCATTCTATATTTACAGCACTTCTCTTTCAGTTTTGATCTTTTACCACTTTTTTTCCGCAACTTTTTCCTGCTTTACAAAAGTTCACTCTAATCATGGGATACAGTTGAATCTGCATTAATTTCTCTTTATACTGACATACTCCGATGTCTTTAAGGAAAAACAGCTCTATCATTGATTGTAATTTCAGTTTGTTATTGCATAGCTTTGGAAATTAGATGTAGCTATAGGAAATTTGTACCGCGGTAACTCGACGTTTTCATCAGACATATGTTGTCCCATTTTATCTCACGGAAAAATCATATTCATCAGTTAATATCATTTTTATGTTACAGTGCTGATAATGTTCGTAACTATCCAGTTAAAACCTCAACTTGTTTTGATGAGCATTTTGATGATTCAATTCTTAATGATTCACTAAAATATTTCCTTTTGCTACTTTACTCGCTATTCACTGTTTCATAAAATTTTGGATAAAACGAAAAGACATTTTGTGCATGTATGGATATGTTTTTGTTTTCTATTGTTTACGTAGTATAATGAATAAATAAGTAAATGAATATATAAAATATATATATATATATATATATATATATATATATATATATATATATATATATATATATAT